CGACAAGACATTTAGAGGTTAATACCAATACCAGGCCAAGACCTGTAGAGGCCAAGACAAAGACAAGGCCAGCACCTTCAAAGTTTGAGACCAAGACAAAATCAACTTATTTAGAGATCGAGATGAACACCAGGCCAAGACCTGTAGAGGCCAAGAAAAAGACAACGCCACCACCTTCAAAGTTCGAGACCAACACAACATCAAGATCTTTAGAGGTCGAGACTAAGACCACGCAATACCTGTAGAGGCCTAGATAAAGACAAGGCCAACACCCTTAAAGTTCGAGACCAAGACAAAGACAAGACATTTAGAGGTCGAGACCAAGACCAGGCCAATACCTATAGAGACCTATACAAAGACAAGGCCAGCACCTTCAAAGTTCGCGACCAAGACAAAATCAACACGTTTAGAGATCGATAACCCATACCAGGCAAAGAGCTGTAGAGGCCAAGGCAAAGAGCTGTAGAGGCCAGGACAAAGAGAATGCCAACACCTTCAAAGTTCGAGACCAAGACAAAGACAAGACATTTAGAGGTTGAGGCCAAGACCTGTAGAGGCCAAGAGAAAGACAAGGCCAACACCTTCAAAGTTCGAGACCAAGACAAAATCAAGACCTTTGGAGGTCGAGACAAAGACAAGGCCAACACCTTCAAAGTTACAAGACAAGACAAAACCAAGACCTTTAGAGATTGAGACCCATACCAGGCCAAGACCTGTAGAGGCCAACACAAAGACAAGGGAAACACCTTCAAATTTCGAGACAAAGACAAAGACAACACATTTGGAGATTGAAACCAATACTAGGCCAAGACCTGTAGAGGCCAAGACAAAGACAAGGCAAACACTTTCAAAGTTCTAGACCAAGACAATATCAAGACATTTAGAGGTTGAGACTAAGACCAGGCCAATACCCGTAGAGGCCAAGACAAAGACAATACCAACACCTTTTCTGATCTTGGTCTTGGCCTCTACAGGTCTTGCCCTGGTCTTGATCTTCACCTCTAAAGGTCTTGACCGTTAGTGTTTGAAGTAAAAATCTTAATTTTTATGCGTGAAGATGGAGGAGGACGCCGTACCTTGCTGCATGCAGCTGAGTGGCACCGTAAACTGTCCCACAAAGTCGTTTTTCGATGTCTTGTCATAGTCCTCCACCACGAAGCGGACCAGAGCCAGTTCAGGGGTGTGGATGGTGAAGCGCAGAGTGTCGTTCCACAGAGGGTTGAATCCTGGACAGAAGACATCAGACTATCAGCTGCTTGAACACATGGTAAGGAAGTGTTCACACCCTTCTTGTACAAACATTTCAGTGTTTTGTCTTGTGGATCCGGAGAGGACAACTGTTAATCAAGTGCTCCACAAATCTGAGCTTTGTGAAAATGTGGCACAATGATGCTGCTGTCGATCCATTAATAGTTTGTGTGGAAGAGCTGGGCCACTTGAGAACAAACTTGATGTTTGCAGGATGTGGGGGGAAGGTAACACTGAACAACACTCTGGAATTTTAATCCCCACAGAGTGGTGGCAGCATTATGCTAGTTATAAATGAACATTATTGATTATTATTGATATCTTTCTGGAGAAATTCACCCTCAGTATTTAACCCATATCCTTTGGGAGAAGTGAGCTGCCACTGTGTGGCGCCCAGGGAGCACTGTTGGGTTAAGTGTCTTACTCAGGGACCAAGAGTGGAGGCTGCAGGGATGAAACCGGGTACTAGCAACCGTTT